GGCGCCAAAAACTTGACTCACTCCTACTGTCACCCTAGAAAATGGCCAAGTATAACCACTTCCTAAAGCGTAGTATAGCGGGTCGGGTTTTAATGTCAACCCGGGTCCTAGATATGATGACTACTCGGTGAATTCTTGTTATTTAGCGGTGAACTTTTAGTGAAACTCAAGCAAACAAAACACAAAGCAAGTAAACGGTTTGTTGTCAAGTCAAGAGAGGTCACCCGGATATGGTTTCCCCCTAGACTGCAGTTAAGTCGGATTGCAATTTACCAAGTTCAGTTTTCATGAAAGTTATACTGCGGAAGGTTCTCAATTAGCCTGAAGTCTCGACTAAAGGTCTCCAGACCCTCTCAATCTGAGTCTCTAGCGGGCGACTAACCTCCACCGGAGTAAACAGATTGAGGCCCTAATGAACCAAACCTCCACTACCGAATCGACTTCGGTACAGAATAGCGAATTGGCTCCTCGACTAAAGTCACCAATTCGTCACCTTCGATTAAGGGTACTCTATCAACCTAGGCAGATATTCTCATTCCAGGTCAAAGCAGAAACAACAGGAATTTGATCAGGATTCAAGTCATTCAATCAATCAAACCTCAATCGAATATAATCAATTCACAAACACTGTACTTGGGTTCATACAATCAGACCTAACATACAAATCTAGGGTTCTCCATACCCAGATGAATGGGGAAACTACTCCATAGAGAAAGAAGCAAAAGCAGATTCAGACACGGAAATCATACTGTGAAGTTGGATTCCTGCTTCTGGACGTTTAATCGCACTTCTCCAAGCTCAAGACGGGCTCCAATGGTGTTGAAGATCGATCTATGGCGCTTGAGAACTCTGGTTCGACGCTTTCTCTCTCTAGGTATCGGTTTCTCTCTCAAAAACTCGGGGCTCTTCAATGTTGGCCTTCTTCCTCCTTAAATCAGCTGCCTGGTCGCGATACCCGGTCAAAATACCCGGTCGGGTATTTTGGGTTTCGACCGGGTATCTCTGCAGCACACCGTTTCACTAAAGGGGGAAATCCCCGGTCCAACACCAAAATCCCCGACCGGGGATTTAACTGCTGTGCCCGGGCCCCTCTCTGCTTCTCGGGCGCCCAAAATTGGTTAATACCCGGTCGGGTATTGGGCCACCTGACCGGGTATTTTCCTCCTTCAGCCCTATTCGTCCCAACCTTGCTCCTTTCGACCCAGAACTCGTTTCTCCGCCTCGATTCCAACGCCGGGACCTGAAATATGACATAAACACACAACCTAGCGTGAAATCCGCTTAAAACACGAGATTCCTCGTCACAAACGGCCTCAGAATAGGGGTAAAAACATGTATAATTATCGGTCTATCAATCAGCCATCCTCGCAGAGCTTTGGGGCATCCATAAAGGTTTGGAACTGGCTTGGAAAATGAACATTCATTGTCTAATTGTTGAGATTGATTCTAAACTAGCTATTCAGTTGATTGAGAACAGATCAGATCCGATTCGCCCTCATGCCACTCTCTTGACCATGATCCGAAGACAGATAGCTCAGAGTTGGTTAGTTCATTTGGTTCATTATGTATCGCGAAGGGAATAAAGTCGTGGACTGGCTCTCGAAGCACAGTCTCGTCTATCCCTTCGGTACACATGAATTAAACGAATTACCAACAGACCTCGAGAGGCTCCTTCGTGAAGACGCTATTGGGACAAGGTTCCCAAGACAGGTCATTATTGACCCGAACTGATTGATTCAGGGTTGGCTTCCGAAAGTTGTATTCTTGTTTGACAGTAGCTAGTCCTTCTAAAGGTTGTCCTTCTTTTCTTGTTCCTCTGGCCACGTTTGTGGCTGCTACTGTGTACTCTTTCCTTCTTGGCTTCATAGCCTCCTCATATTAAAAAAAAAAAAAAAACTCAGCGCCACGTCTGACAACTTATCATCATCAAACGGAAAATTTAACGGAGAGTTAACTTTTGACTATATTAATAGCATTTCAATAGGTTTGGCTAATAAAAAATCATGTGAGGAAGGTTTGGTTAATAATTAATGTTTACCCATTTTTATTTTATTTATTGACAAATGTGGCAGCTGAGTTGAATGCTGAGGTTGAGCACTGTTAAGAAAGAGTTAACAATAATGAATTAAATGGCTATTACTTTGACGTGTTACAAAATGTTTGACTAATTTTTAGTATTTCGATAGGTTTGACTAATAAAAAATAATCCAAAAGAGATTTGAATAATAAATAGTCTTTACGTAATATGTACTAATGATATGAGGTAATAAATTAGGTGTGTCTGTATGAATTGTTTTATACTCTTAGCCATTATCATATGGTGAAAAATCATTCCTTTTCAGCTTTTCATAATTCATACAACATTAGGTTTGAGCTTTGTCTAAATTATAAGTGCTTGTATCTGCCTGCACTCTAGAAAACAAATATAATATAAGCAAAATGATGAGCTGTGACGGCATGTGGAGCATCACCTTGCCATCAGGCATTCTGAGGTTTATTGGGACAGCAAGCTCATGAGCAAGTATTCCGTTAAGAAGGTTTGGGACACGATTCGGCCCAGTTATGATAAGATTCCATGGTATGACCTAGTCTGGAAGTCTCTTTGTACTCCAAGAGATAAGGTGGTGGTGTGGCTTATCATTCTTAATAGAACAACTACACTAGATAAAGTGCAGGTTTGGAACCCCTATGTTGATAACAGATGCCCTCTGTGTGCAACTGTTGTGGACTCCAGGGACCATCTCTCTTTTTAGTGCTCGTATTCACAGCAGATTCTCCAGGCTGTTTTTCACTCGCAGGTCTATTCTGGAAGGTGTTGGGAAGATAATTTGGGGATAGCCATAAACCAATTCAAAGTGGCTTCCCAGCCTTTGATCGCGGAAAGTTGCTTTGGATGACAGTGGTGAGCGAGCTATGGAGGGAGCAATGTAGGCGTTTATATGGAAGTGGTGCTCTGACGGAAGTACAGCTGTTGAAGAAGTTGCAGCAAATGTTGATTCTGTTGCGGAATGGTTTCCCTCAAATAAGTTTGGCTATTAGTGAGACTCAGATCCAAAATATAGTGTAGAGTTCCTGTGTTTGTTTGCTTTTTAGGCAGGTTCTTATTGATAGTAGCTGGGTTTATAGTTTTGAGTGGCTGTATGTACCATGTGACTGGGGGACTCTGATGATTGGTGCCAGTTTGAATGGTTTTCTATCATTCTTACTTGATGAATACACAACTTATTCATAAAAAATGATGAGTTTTTTTTTTTTTTTTTTTACGGATCCAAGAGTGAAAAACACTTTACTATTGAATGGTTATCCAAAATATTAAGTGTGTGTTATATAAATGTATTAGATATATGATTACTTGACTAATTGGTTAATTGGTTTAATTGATTAGTATTATTTGAAACCAAATCAAATTATTTGAATATAACTGGTTAAAATAATTATCATGGTAAGGAAAGGGACAAGGACTTGTTTGGGTAAGGTTTAGAAATTTGAATTTTAATTGGGGGTAAATATGTCAATTTATTGTGTTTTAGGGCGATAAAATTTGAATTTTAGGGCGACGAATAGCGATTCAGCATATTAAACACCTCTAAGTGGAGGAATAGAGATGAGGTTGAAAATGAAAATGATTTTGATTTATTTAATTGATATGTAGCTAACTTAATGATATAAAATGATGGTGTTTTGCTTTTTGGATAAGAGTTTCAACCGCTGATATTCCAGTTGAATTGTCATTCCTACATGTGCAAGTGAGATCAATAAAAGAGAACTATGATGTTGCTTCACCCTTCTTCTCGCATGTATTGTAAGTTGTGAGTATCGAATATCGATATGTTTTTACATACACCACAAGTCGGTAATGGTATATATATCGGGTCAGCACAAGCCCAGACTCCGAAACTGGCAGTTTATATCGAGAATTCCGGGACCGATATCACTGAGGCCCACTCCACAAAGTCCATTGAGCCCAGTAAGCCCACGACATCTATCTGCGCTCAATGACCCCGGATTTCTCTTATCCGCCATTGGCAATCAGCTGGGAGCTCGCCCAACACAGAAATGGCGCTCTCCAACGCACTGTCGCTGAAACTTCCCCTGAAGCCACCTCTTCATCCACCTCCCTCCAATCTCCACTCCTTCTCCCTTCCTCCCCGATTCAAATCTCTTCAAATCCATTCTTCTACCCTCTTCAGGTCCCGGCTTCCGAAACCGCGAACTGGACTTCTCGTAAGGAGAGCAGTCGAAGAGAGCCGGGAGGAGCAAACGGAATCGGAGCAATTGAATGAATCCAGGACGGCGGCGGCGGAACCATCGGCGACTCCGAGCGAGAAAGGCGGACAGGAGCAGAGCGATTTGGGAGAAGAGATAAGGAAGGCGATGATGGAGAGGAAGAAAGCCGAAGAAGGCGGCGCCGGGATTGGCGGGGATCTGTTTAGCGGAGTGGCGGAGGAGATTCGAGAGATAGAATGGCCGTCCTTCGGTAAAGTTTTGGGAACGACAGGCGTGGTACTGGGCGTCATTGCTGGCTCCAGCGTCGTTTTGCTCACCGTCAATGCCTTGCTTGCCGAGCTCTCCGATAAGGCGTTCGCCGGTAGAGGCGTTCAGGATTTCTTCAGTTAAGAAGAACGAAACACGATTATTATTCTGTACTATTCTTGCTTCATCAAGTCATCATCCAACCATGTAATTCAGATTCCTATTTATACACATTCAGTTTGAGGATTTGGCGATCAATTGCATCTACTTTGGTTGTTCCTTTCTGTATCGGAATCAAACTTGCAGCCTCCCATTATTAGTAATGAACGCATACAAGTTTCAGAATTTCCCTCGGACATTACATTACCTCATGAAACAGATTAGGAACACAGAAAATGGACAAGCGTGATTGAACACTGAAACTGGATTACTCAATCTAAGAAGGTATGCAGAATGGCGACGCAAACAAACGATCATGAAAACGAGGATAGAATTTGCTTATCAGTGATTCAGAAGGCAGCAAAACATTATTCGGCCGATCCGGCAGGGCCCACGAGGACGCCTTGAGAGCCGCCATCCTTCTTGCTACCTTCTTCATCCTTCATGTCACTATCACCTTTCCTAATCCTGATCTTGTACTTCGCTTCAAAGTCGGCGATCTCCTTCTTCTTCTTTTCCAAGGCTTCGTTCAGCCTGGCGATGACTTCCTCGATCCCTTCTTTGTTACGCTGCACGGCTGGTAGGACCTCCTTGATGTTCCTCTCAACGAGCACACCTCCAATCATGCGGTAGCAGCGCCTGGCAGGGTCTAGGGGTTGGATGGCGTTAATGACCAATGAGTGCTCGCTCACTTCCATCTCCAGTTCTGTGATTTTGGAGTATATCTGGTTTAGTTCAGTTCTGCTCGTTTACCGGCTCTTTCCCTTGCATTTCGGATCTTCCAGCCATTTTCTCTGTGAATGAAAGAGCAAGCTTAATCAAAAGCCCAGCATTTGCTAACCTGATTCAATCCCATAAGTTCTAATCGTTGAAATGCTTCCGAAAACAATTACAGGAGCATCAAAATCATAGATAAGAACCAAGAACCCAGTGTAACATAAAACTCTCAGGAAAATAATCGTCGTATATGATATACCCTAAAAACACAACATCCAATCCTGACGGCACTTAGCAAGACTATAAGTGATCGAATCGCAGGAAAAGTTGGGCACAGAAAAGATGTCAGTGGGATTGACGCAATGCTATGTGTTCTTATTCATTTGATTCAGAGAAACAATCAAATCATGCAAACTGATAAAGGTAGTCAGAATAACCATTTTCTAGGAATTACCCACTATTGGCATCAGGGTTTCAGCGGCACAAGTGTTTAACAGCAGCTAGGCTGCATTGAACCACTGTCGTCTCTCATTTCTGTAGTAAACTTCTAGCTATTCAAACGGAAAATCCAGCCATAGCCCTGTACAATCTTCAGAAATCTAACAAGTCAAAAGGCAATACCTACCTAGCCAGACCCCAGAAGAAGCAGGTAGCTGCGCTGCAACTCCACATCTACTTACTGACAACAAATTCCACCATTGCTCTTCCACTTACAGTAACTCCACAAGTTCACTCATAGTTACTTTCTGTACCTAAACTATTGAAGGAGGGAAAACGACGGTTGATGAAGATCCATTCCAAGTTCACTCATAGTCACTTTCTAACCTAGCCAATTCAATGTAACAAGTAACAACTGCTACGACGATTCCAATCGAACTGTATACTAAGCAGAACAACCACACCCAAATCCAATCGCGGCAACCCCAGAAGTTACAGTATCCGAATCGAGGAAACAGAGAAAGAACAAGGAAAGCTCACCTGAAGTTTAAGGTTGAGGTCGCCGGCGGCGGCGTTGGTAATAAAATAGGAGAACAAACAATCGGGAAACGACAATCGACAAAGAAAATCGAAGGGGGAGACGCGAAAGATGATAGTGCAAGACCTCACAACCCCAATTTCTACTGCCCTAGTGCCCTTCTCTTCCTCTGGATTTTTTGACTTTTCCTTGACGAACCCTCAGTCAGTTGTTTCTCAGAACTGGTTCTTGCGAAGGCGAAAGTGCGGTGGAAGAGAGATTTTGATCGAAGACAGTCTCACACACTAACCAGTCTACTGTTGGGGACTACTCCACAGTTCTCCTGGGCTCAATTAATTTGATTTCACTTGAGCCCAAAACCTACCTCGTCTGGAATTAAAACGAAAAGAAATTACGTAATAGTACCTAAACTTTTCATTTTGATAGAAGAAATTATGTTTGGTACCTTAAAATTTTTATTATGACATATATCAGTTGGATCCATGATCCAATTCACCAATCTATGAATACATTCAATTTTCCACCTCTAACTCCCAGCAGCATGATTCCACTCTATATTTGATTCCACTAGTGATGGCAACGGGACAGGTCTACGGCAGATAGTGCATATAATGTTATCCTACGCAAAGTAGTTCAGATATTTACTTATACCCACATAAGAATTTGGTGGAAATCAAAATCATGCCCATACCTAGGGGTGTACATGGGTCTGATGGTTCGAGTTTGGTCATTTTAATCACTCAACCCATATACTATAGTTTTGAAAAGGTTAAATCCAACCCAACACATAAAAAATTAAAACCCTACAATTTGTGTATAATTGGGTTGAGTCGGATTGGAGATACTTTTAATTAAATATCCAACCCAACACAAAAAAGGAAACTATTATACACTACGAAAATATTATAAACTAATTAAGATTTTAAACAAATAAATGGAGGCAAAAAGTTTCAATATGCATAAATATTGTTTGAATTTTAATGAAATGAAATTTATTTCAACATATGTCTATTTTTTCATAAATATTTGTCGAAGTAAACTAAAGTAGTTATAAGGTAACATATTCATATTATATTCTTCTTGTAAAATTGTACACACAAGAAAAAAGATTACGCGGATCATAGCTTATATTAAATCTACGTCTCAAAATTAAGTTGAAGAATGTATTAGACAAGAGAAATCACAAGAGAAAAATATGATAATATAGCTTAATTTTCTCACAAATATGTTTATTTACAACACAAATATGTGTTGTATACGAACACTTATGACAATAGTTAAACACAGGTTGGGTCGAGTTCTACGGGTTGCGTTACCCAAAATGCGGACCCAACCCAATAGAGATGGGTTGTACAAAAGAAAATCCTCACCCAACCTTAAACTGTAATTTTGACGATAAATACGGGTGGGTTGGGTCGGGTTGGACAGATGGGTCAGTTTGCGGGTTGTTTTGTTCACCCCTACCCATACCTGCTCGAATTTCGGGTACTCACGGTTAGAGGTGAGCAATAGGCGGATTGTGTGGGTTTTAGTCATAAATTGACCCACCCGCTTACTAGCAAGTTGGAATAATTGTGACCCGCAATCCACCCACATACTTCTACGGGTTGGGTTGGGTGGGTGGCAGATGGGTGCGGTTGGGTCGTGGGTCAACCCGCAAAGCAATTCTCCAACTAGCCACTAAGAAAGTTGACTAACATTTATAATAAGTTCATAGCAAATTAGTAAGACTGTACCAATAATTTGTGATTTTGATACAATTAATAATTTATAGTTTGCATCCAAATATTTAATGGATATTAACAATAATTTGCATACCAATATCTAATATCTAATGGATATTGCACAACACAATAATCAATAATATTAGTAAAAACTATTCTTTATTCTCTACCTTTTGATGTATATGATCAGATTGTACAGCAGTTCGAAAATATGTGAATATTCTATACTATAAGAAATAACATTTTTTTTCATGTAAAAATAGGGTCATACGGGTGACCCGCAATCCATCTACCCACCCACTTAAGTGCGGGTGGGAGATTTATCAATCTGCAATCCACCCACATGAATCACCTACTACGTACGGGTCGGGTTATTTGCCGGTGGATCGATATCAATCTGTTGATTAACCACCCACGTGCCCACCTCTACTCACAGTTATCTATGGGTAATAATTTCTCTTCATAACTCCAACCAACAAGTTAACATTCACACGTATACTCACATTTGAGAAAAAATACGACTATAAATCACTAGAATGAAGAAAGTAAATTAAAAACAATATATTTCATGAAAATATTATATATGTATACTAAATATAAAATATGTTGAGAAAAATAATTGGGCATGTTCGAGTTGGATAGTGAGAAAATCATGTCCACCAATTACCCGCAATATTCGAATTCGAGTTTTACCCATACCCACTAAAGATCGTCAAATTCAAATTTAACCCTATCCAATTAGATCGAATTCGGGACCATATCCATAATTGTGGATAATTTTGCCAGATTCCCGCTATGACATGATAACCGGTAGTGTATTATCACGTTTTTATTGATAGCAAAGCACACCAAGTCAACAACTACAATACGGAGACGAACAAGGGCTTGGTCAAGTGGTAATACCACTAGCCTAGAATCTGGAGGTCCCAGGTTCAAATTCCCTTAAGTAGTACCTTAATTACAAACAAGAAACCTAGATCACCCTTATAAAAATAAAATAAAAACTACAATATAGAGGAGGGGGTAAAAAAAATATCTACATCTACACTATTTATTATAGCTGAAAAGTAAAATTGCTCATCCAATTCAAAACTCCCTGGCCTAAGAGTGTTTTGCGGAGTACTCTCATTACAGTTTTGAATTTAAGGGTGTTAGGAAGGTAGGTAGCTGGCAGACTTGGCACCTTCCATCTCCAATTGTGTGCTCCGCTTGAAAACCCACCGCCGTCAATTCTCCTCTAATATCCGTGTGTATCTTTGTGCGTTGCTTCCCCTTGCTCGATCGGAGGCTTGATTCCTGAATTTCTCCAACGAAAGAGAGTGGTAGGGAGGTCGGAAACTAGCATACTAGATGGGCCCCTTCCACCCCCAATTGGGTGCTTCGCTTGAACAGCAACCGACCACGATTTCCCTCTAATTTCTCTCTGTTTCCTGCAGCCCCATCGATTGTCGAGTTATACGCCGGAATCAATACCAAACGGCAGGTACACTTATCTATTCTGTGGTTGTCAGTGATATTCGTTTGTCCCAAAATAGCATTTTAGCAGTCCTTTAGCTCAATTTTTCATTATAAGTTCAAAGTTCTTTACCTCAGACTCCTGAGTAGCTAATGGAGTTATCCAAGTTGATGGGCAATAGCTTCTGTTGCTGCCTTGGCAAGAAACTGCATTGATGATGCTTCTAGTGGAGGAGGCCGAGAGGGAGGGAGGGGAACTGATAAGGGAATATGAGTGCCCCTACTGCCACAGGTTGTTCTGCTAAGGGTTCCAGCGGCTGGGGCAGGACGAGCCTGGCAGGGAAGATATCATGGTGATGGATATGGCCAAGAGCAACGAGTGGGGGCGATGTCCGCAGTGCAAATTCTACGTGGAGAGGACTGAGGGCTGTCCTCACATCATTTGCAGGTCCGAATTCGTTGCTCTACTACGGCTATAGAGATTGTGATAAATCTGCAATTTTGTTGGAATGGGGAATATGGGTTGTCATTGACATAAAGTTGAACGAATAAGCCTGCTTATGATAGTGAATTTAGATCCAAATTTATTGATACTATAAATGAAGTGATTCATCAATTGATTAGATAAAAACAACCATGAACATGAGATATCAGAGTAAGGAACCTTGACAATACTGTCCTTTTGTGGTTTGACAAGGGATTAGATAAAAGGAACCATGAACACAAAATAGCAGCGAGCAGTAGCTGCAGTTGCAGCAAAAAGAGGTAACTTCCCTACAATTGTATCTGTCTTGGTTTGGCTCTTTTGTGGTTTGCCTACGATTCACATACTATTAGGGAGCAGTTATATGGGAGCAAGAACAAGAATAATTTTGAATTCGTAGAATATGTTTTGTTTGAACAAGGGCACCCTGCACTCTCCAGCGCCTATGTCTTCTTTTATGGCCTGTATGTTCGGGTGCCTGCTTATGTTTCATGATTTACTTTGTCATTTTCTAAAATTTTGGTTTAATAAAATGAGATCATCATTAGAAAAAAGTGTTTAACTCAGGTTTTGCATTGAATTCCGAATTCTTTATAAAGTGTTTATGTTGCATTTGAGTTCCTGTCTACATCTTCTTGAGACAGAAGAGTGAATTTTAAGAATCTCCATCGTCAAGTGTTTAGCTGGGGTAACACGTAGAATTCAGTATTCCTTATGATGTGTTTCTGATGCATTTGGATTTTTATCTGTAGGTTCTTGAGAAAGAAGAGTGAATTCCAAGAACTGGAGCTTGAATGGTTCACAACGAATTGCAAGCTATGGCAGTAACTGCGAAGGAATGAGTCCAGATTATTGTTGTGCAATGTTATAACACCACTCTACTCTACAGGTTGATCGAAATTGATTATGCATTAGTTGAATTTACATTCCAATGATCTGATTCCATATTGAGTTTAGTTACTCGTGAAAAATCAGAGAGGTAAGGGCTGTCAAATCCAACCATATGTTCTAATTCAACCAAACAAATGTATTCTTTTTAGGCTAAATATTTAGTATTATGCAGCTATGTTCGTTTTGCTTATTATCTTTGCAAATGGTGGATGCTTAGGAGACAACCAATTTCATGTTGAACTGAAAAAAGAAATACGGTGTATATAAACTGGGTATATTCTTGAACTAAGATTGTATGAAGAATATTTAACCCAAGATATCTAAATTGGGGATGCGCAATGATTGATTGACATCGGATCAAACCGATCTTTTGGATCGCACTAATCGAATTGAATATAATGCGGTCTGATCTTTGATTTCATGAATTTTATTAATGTTGAAAAATGAAAACATTTTGAATCAAATCAAACCGGACCAATTGAAATGATGGACCAATTCTTGATATTCCAAATTTTTAATTATTGGAATGTAATTTTCATCGTTTTGTCAATTGGTCTGATATGGACCTGACCTTTGCCACCCCTAATCTAATTTTTTTCATCAAGACACCCCTAATCTAATTACCGACCTATGTATGGGTATCCGGACAATGGGCTTGAGCACAAGCTAGTATTTATAGGATTTTTCTAAAATATGTATTTTAAAAAAATATTATTCAAAATAGCGAAAATATTTCAAATTCTACTGCCTATAAAAGCAAATCGGGACGAGTACAACCCAATTCATTTAAAAATCTACCAATAACCCCAATTAAAGCGCAAATGCTCCAATTTGATTCAAAGTAGCATTAAAACCCAATCGAGGCGCGAATAAGCCGAATTGAGGCGCCGTCGGCCAATTGGGCTTATTCCCGCCTCAATTGGTCTCTTTTAATAGCATGTCCTTTCTTGTACATAATGATTCCCTCCACCCCAAGTCCTAACCTAACTATTTTGTCCCCACCGCCATCATACATCCACTCCAATCATCATTGTTAAATATAACTAGAGTATCATTAGTAGAAAATGTGAGAATTATAGATAAAAAATGTTGATTCCATCTCATGCTGAACAAAGCCACTCATTTACTATTAATCTATAGTTCAATTCTTAATTTAATATGTGTATATACATACTTACGTATTTCTTTTGTTTAAAATTTTCGTTATAGTACTATTAACAAACTTTTGTTACACTTCAATTCTTAATTGGAAGTTTGCCACTATTATCTCCAAAAAACATGAGGTTTCAAAAAAACTTTCTCATCTATTTTCTGGATGAGATCATTAGTGCAATGGCTGAAAAATGTGGATCAAGTTTAGCACATACTGGACTGATATTCATATGTTGCTTATTGTGGTTGTTGTTCTTGATCATGCATACAAGCTTGAGTTGATCGGGTACTATTATGAAATGTTTCAAATCCTTGATTCTACTCTTGACCCCGAGACTGTTAAGGCCACTGTTTATAACGTGGTCCGTGAATATCAATTGAAATAGAGGGCTACAGATGATCTTTCTGCCTCCTCTTGTTCTGGTAGTGGTCTTGATGTTCCTACCTCGAGCGACCTTGGCTTTGAGCTTTATCTAAGCCCGGAAAAGGTCCAAGACAACTTCACTATGCTCTGAATTGGACCATTATCTGAGTGAGGGTGTTAATCCTCAAGTTACTAATGTTGGTGTTTTGGATTGGTGGAGGGTGAATGCTGGAAAATACCCTCTGTTGCAAGCGGTAGCAAGAGATTTTCTCGTTGTACCAGTGACTTCTGTGGCCTTGGAGCCAGCCTTCAAATCTGGTGGTAGGCTGCTAGATCCTCACTGAACTAGGGTGCACTTTGAAACTGTTAAGGCAATCGTGTGCACCCGTACATGGATTAAGAATGATATTAGTAAAGATAAGGAATTTATTTAATTATTTCCAACTCTGTTTGTGGTTCAACTACATTGTGAAATTAACTAACTCAGTTCTCCTTTCTTATTTCTGCAGATGTGGAAATGATGGGATTAACGGTTTGGAAAGCTGCTTCTCCGCGTTGACAATGGAGGATCCAAGTTGTGAAAACGTTAAGAAAGGAGGTTAGTTAATACTGAACTATTAGCTCAGTAATTTCAAGATAGTGATTGCTGCTATCTGCTAATAATTTGTATGATTTCACAAATTTTCAAGATTGTGCACTCCTGGACTTTGATGCTTGAAGATCAAGCATGTGGCTGCTGCTGAGTGCTTGTTGTTGCTGCCTGCTAGAGAGTTGTTGTTGCATCCAGCTTGTTGTTGCTACTAGGGCTGGAAGTTTGGTACCGGTATTTGGAATATACCGAATACCGTACCGAATTTGTCTATATTTGGTATTACCAAATACACGTATTATTTTGTGGGATTGGGATTGTGATTGAATTTCAATTGTTATTCGGTATTAGGGATTACGGGATTGAGATCGGTATATACCGAAATACCGATCAATACCGAAATATAAGCTAGTGTGTATTTTATCCTCTCAACTAAACTCTCTCATTCTCTACTACGCGACCATCAACCACCAAAAGTATCATTTAATTATACATAGATCATTACATCACTATTTCACACTATTATTAGTCGTCTCTCAACCTCAAATTCATAAAATTAAAGATTACCAATTACAAGAACTTGAGATGTTAGCTCTAGGCAACTCAAGACTATTTGCTTAGTCTCTTCGCTCAAAATTAAACAATAAAGTCTAATTTATATATTTAATTATTAATTGCAAAGGTAATTAATAATGCATTCGATAATACCGATTGGGATACCGAAATTATTTAGGGATTGGGATTTGGATACCGAAATTATTTAGGGATTGGGATTGATTTTAGGGTGTAATTCGGTATTCGGGATTTCGGTATTTGGTATTGGGATACCGATACCGTACCGATTTCCACCCCTAGTTGCTACTACTGCCTACTGGAGAGTTGCTGCTGTTGAATGTTGAGCTTGATGGTGAATGGTGATATCCTAAAGAATGAAGGCGACCTTGATGCCTTGATGGCTCATTTCCTTTAAGTTTTTCTTTATGTTTTTGGTGGACTGGTGGTTTTCTACTTTGTTTCATTGCTTGGATTGAAGTTTAGGAACTTGTTTGTTTCGATTGGATATTCGAATTTGGAAATGGGATTGTATGCAACTATGCATCATTTGGATGTCTTGATCCTTTTTTATGTGTTTAGACAGTTTGAATTTTGGAAATTGGAATTGGAGTCATGTCATTTGATTTTTCTCTTAGTAATTTCCAAGATGCATTCTTTGTATTTTGGGGGGTTTTTTTTTCCAGGCTGACAGTGGTAACGGGTAAACCTGTTAATCCCGATTGTAGCCCATTACCCGATGAATTCGAGTTTGGATTTGAAAATGAGCCCGACGGGGCTAGTGGGGACGGATTCGGGGAAAGCCTGTCAGGCTTTCGGGCGAGTGGAGGATAGGCGGTCCCCGGCCCCGATCCGTCCTGTTGCCAAGCCTAATTCTCTTCATATTCAGATGAACAAGCGATGGGAAATTATGAAGGATCATTATTATTATGTGTAAATAACAATTGGGCTTCTAACACTATGAACCCCATCTCTCCAAATCAGTGAAGCAGAGGCCAAAAACCCATCCGCCGGAGCTTTACCTCCCGATACAGTCACGGTGAAAGACTTCTTCTCATTCAAGGACCCAAAAGAAAGAACCGGCGGCGTCACTTCAATCTTCAGTCTTCCCATGTTCGGCACAATTTGGGATGTGTACGTCGACGTCGCTGTTCCCACGTTCGTCACCGTTCTTAGAAATGAAATTTGGAAAGCAGCCCTCGTGCGCGAAACATCAGCGGTTATGGAAGGGTAGTTGAAGTCCTTTATAGCAGCTGGGTCAGCTCGGGCAAGGCAAGTGCTGTTTTTGTCACCTGTGACGGATCTGATTCTGGCGGTATCGTAGCCCAAATTGCAGAGCAAGTTGATGTCGTCTTGTGCTGATGTTTCATAGACAAGTCCTGGATTTGTGGCATTCACAGGATTCAGCTGCCCAGACCCATAAGCGAATTCTGTGGATACGTATGTAAGGGTTGGATCTTGAACATTCCCCGGATGCATTGGTGTCGCTGCAGAGACAAGATAGATCAGGTTTGCAGTTTCCCCTGTTTGAAAAATCAGGAGTGGAAACAAAATGCAATTCAAATACTTACCGGTGGTGAGGATGGCGGATTTGAGAGCGGAAGGAGACCAATCGGGGTGCAAGGTTTTGAGGTAAGCAACTACGCCGGTGACATGTGGGCAGGCCATAGAAGTTCCGGATAACACATTGAAATTGTATCGTCTTTTGTCATAGGGATTTTCAGATAATGATGCCACCGGAGAAAACCCAGCCAAGATATCCACCCCAGGAGCACTCACATCCGGCTGGGAAAACATTAATCCAAAGATCACAAACACAAAAAGAGACTCTTGGACCATGTAATTGAAATGTTGAAATCATGATGTCGACATACATGGGTTATGTCCATACCTTGAGAATACCAGAGATGATCGAATTCGGACCTCTGGAGGAAAAGGAAGCCACCAATGGCGCTCCTGGATCTCTCACAGTGTCGCTTTTTAGTATCTTCGCCACTGGATTTCTAAAAAAAAACGACCATACATAAGTTAGCTTAATCCAATTATGGCTTCATAATGAAGTAGAACTAGCTCAACAAGCACATCTATATATGTATGGATATACTTAGTAGAGTTCTGATATGAGATGACGGCGTCAAGGGTTTGGAAATCCACCGCGGCGGCAGGCAAGGCGACAACAGAGGCGGCATCGGGAGTGTTGTAAGGGTATATAACTCCCTTGGCGCCAGCTTCAAAAGCCAGCTCCTTTTCGTTGATGGAATCGCATATCACAATTTTGTTCCCACAAGCTCTAGTCAAAGAAATTGATACAGTAGTTTAGAAAACAACGCACAATATCTTCCTCCATTGTCAAATAAAGCAGCAAGCTAGCTAGAGAAAATGGAGATGGAGGGCGTCTTGAGGGTTCACCCACCCTGGGCAACCAATTGATGGATCTCCATGTAACAATGGCGACTCCAGCCCATTCCACGCGAATGCATTCACTGAAATCCCCTGTACGACATTCCCCCAAATCCAAAAAGGGTGAAGTAGGGCAAACACATGACGAAAAATTAGCTTCAATTTGGGTCTAAAAAATTCCATACCGTGACTATCTTCCTGTTACCGAGAACAACTTTGGACTCGAATTTTCGGTCGATGGTGCTGGCGGCGACGGAGAGCAACCACGGAGCTACACTACAAGTGGTGGCAGATTGGGGGCCGCTGTTCCCGGCAGAATGTACGGTGAGGATTCCTCGGCGCGCCGCGTGAAACCCGCCGATTGCGACGGTGTCGGCGTCTATATCAACGGCCTCGGGCGTCCCGATCGATACGGAGATAACGTCGACGCCGTCTGCTATTGCATCGTCGAAGGCGGCCAGAATGTCCGCCGACGAACAGCCGAGGTCGTCGCACACCTGGTAGACGGCGATTCGAGCGGAGGGAAGTCCGCCTCTGGCGACGCCGCTCGCCAGCCCATAGAAGCTGACGTCCTTCAATACGTTTCCTGCTGCCGTCGACGCCGTGTGGGTCCCGTGACCTTGGTCGTCTCTTGCCGATTGGGAAGAGTAGTATCGGGCGCCGATGATCTTACTGTAACGAATTTAGGGTTCAATATCACAAGTAGAATAGTTGTGACTTGTGAGGAAGGTAAAAATGAATGCGGTTAGATTTCTTTTACATTAAATCATGCTACCATCTAATTAATTTTAATTAAAAGTTGATAGAATTGAATGCAGTGAAAGTTATGTTTTCTTAGAAAAATATGTACAAATATCATACTCTTATATCAGCTTTCCATAGAGACTACAAATTGAAACTTGTTACAAAATTGCTAGTTATTCAAAAGTTTGACTTAGAGACATATTTGGTCTAACTAATGTGGTTGGAGTAGGAAAACTCATTGAAAAATCGAGCCAACACACACACAATAGTAGGTTAAGACTAGCGCACGCCAGACGCACGCTTATCTTATCGTACATTCGTTGACTTTTGTTATATAGACCATAAATTAATAGGAGTTTGGGGTTATAATATTATACCCTAATCTCTAATGGGTGAACCTCAATGCCCACTTTTGTAATCCAAACCATAAAATTCGTTTAATCTCAAAATGAAAATCAACAATTATGATTTGTCAAAATTATCAAAAATACAAAATATAGGTGTGAACGCAGGCGTATAGCGTCTGCCAGGCCTACGTTAGCCTTTGCCACAATAGTAAGCGGTAGGGATGTGTTTGGATATCTCTTCACACGAAAAATGAAAATGAAAAATATTTTTAGATCTTTTTCTATATAAATATTTTTTATTATTGAGTTTGAAAGAATTGCCATAAATATGGGAATATATTGGTATTTTTAAATAATAAATAGTCATTAAATATATTTTCTTATATTGGGAAACAAAATATGAATGAGAAAGAAGATAGTAAATCAATAAATTTTGGTGGGACATATAATTTCATTTCTAGTAACCCAACTCATGTACCAATTTCCATGGAATTTTAAATTCTTAAGTTTTAGGCAACATAAAAAAAAATTCTCTCTCAAATCATAAAAAAAGAAATGCCAATTAGATTTTTAACCTATATAAATTCAAAACAGGTTATAAGACTCAAAGTCCTAATGGTAACGGTGTGAAGAGAAAAGGAAAGGAATGATAAGTAAAATGAAAATTTACTTGTTACAGGTGAAATTGGTTCCGCCTCTACAAACACCCTTCCATTTCGCTGGCGGAGGACCAAAACCACGGTCATCGAAACTGGGTAGTTCCGGCCAGATTCCACTATCTATAATTCCGACCACAACATCATTGGCAATGCCCACAGGGTTCTTAATCATTGTGGGTTGAGGAAGGCCTAAGAAATCCCATGATCTCGTGGTCTGGAGCTGCAACTTCTTACTCGGGAAAACAGAGACGACGTCTTTTCTGCCTGCAAAATCAAAATCAAAATAGATGTTTCTATACATATTTTTGGCAAAAGAATGATTATAAAGGCGTTTGTGTATGAAAGAAGACAAATTAATTCACATACTTGAAATCTTTTGGGCCTCATCATCGGTTAGTGTTGCCGCAAATCCATTGAAACTTCGTTTGTAACTCCTAATCAATAATCCTGCCGACCCTAATTGGCTGTTCAAATGAAAATGATTATAGCCCTTTATTTGAATTTCCGATCTACGGATGAAAAAATGATAAGGTAGTTGGTAACATACGATAGGGGGGTTAAGGTATTAAATAAATAAGAGATTTTGTACATTATTTTACCCAACAAGAGTTAATTTTTTTACGATTTAAAATAAAATATAAAAATCAATACTTAATCCCGTAAAATATGGTTTATTCTGTACGAGATGCAACATTAGCACGTAAACCGAAAAAATTGGATGTTTATGCATATATGCGTATTAAAGTTTTTGCTAATTATTCCGATGATTTGAGATGTTGGGAAAATCTCTACCTGTCATCGACAACCTCTTGCAATAGGGAGAGATGGTGAGACGAGGGAGTATATTGGTCATCATGCTTAGGCAATGCGCCCATGTACACGATATAAACCTATGAATTAATCATAATAATTTCTTTAGGATCGGCAAGAAAAATAGTAATGATCAAAAAACAAAAAAAAAATGAATGAAACACTTTTGGCACTGACTTTTCTGTCGCCATTGGTGGAGGCGTTGCAGATTAGATTGACATTAGACAAAAGAAAGATTTTGAATATAAGAATGTGCAGTAAAAATTTGAATGACCACATGTTGTTCCTCTTTCCTCGCAACTAATTTTATGATTTTCTTGTGGGGATTATTGAGGGGAAAAAGGACCGCAATTTATATACAAACCAGTCATATTTACTTTGGTAAAGTCATCATTAGTTTTCTTTCCTTGGCCTAAAAAATCACTTACTTCCTTTTTCTTCACTGCCAAATAATCTAAAGAATATCATAATGACAAATCATTCATATAAATTTTTTTGAATTAAGACTGAAGGCGTTGTGAGAAAGGAGAAGATAAGCTTGAAAATTGAGAAATTAATTGGATACTTTAAGTGTTGAAAAATGGATAAGCAGAGTTAGAAATGATTTAATGTTTACCTTAAAAATTATAAAGTATTAAACAATTTTTCTGTATATTCATGGTTGGCAAAGTTATATGTAGTGCTAATAAAGACATCTATGGGCACGAGCATTACTACGATGCAATATAGTATTTGTGTTTTAATGTACAACTTGAAGTTGTACCATAACACTAAATTTATAATGTTAGGTTGTACCATAAATGAATTTGTATCATTATGTTATGGTACAACTTTACAACTTGAAGTTGTATCATCACATAAATGTACAAGTTCAAGTTGTACCATAAAAGAATTTGTACAAAAAATATAGGTACAAATGTACAATCTGAAGTTGTACCTGTTGACACCTAAAATTAATTTGGTCGGGATTAAATGCCGCATTAATTAGTCTCGGCATTTAAGTCGATGTCGCGGGTAAAAAACGGTGTCGTTTGGAGTTGAGCGGTGTCGCGGAGAGTTAGAACGGTACCGCAAGGAAGCTCAGCGGTACCGCAACACCGGAAACCACACCGCTGACCGAAAATAAAAAAAAGGGACGCGCGTTTAATGAAGGTTGGAGGAGGAGTTTTGATTATTTAATTATTATTTTTTAGTCCTTGTGAGAAGCGGCACCGCGGAGAGTTAAAACGGTACCGCAAGGAAGCTCAGCAGTACCGCGGTACTGGGAACGATACCGAAAATAAAAAAGGGGCGCGCGGTTAGTTGGGTATTGGAAAAGGAGTTTGTTTATAATTAATTATTATTTTTATTCCTTGTTGGAAGGGGAAAATCGGTACCACGAATTTAAAAACGGTGCCGCGAGAGCCTGGTAAGCGGTACCCATTAATTAAAAATCATGTCGGGCAAGTGACCAAAATTCAGCCGGCCCAATGCGAACGCCGACTGCGGCGATTCCATGGATTAATATTTTTTGGCTATATCAGCGGTTTCGTTTAATTCAAAAACGATACCGCGAGTAAGCTCAACGGTACCGCGGATTAGCAAACGACAGTGTTTAAATAAAAAACAATGTCGCAAAAGGGAAAAACAAGCGGAGCTGTTTGGGAAAGGAAACGACATCGCGGGATCATGAAAACAACTCCCGTAAAGTTCACGCGAAGCAGTTTGAGGAGCGAAGCGGTTGAGACACGTGAGATTTCACAACGGAGCAGTTGAGGAAGCGGTTCCACCGAGCGTGAAGAGTGAAGACTACGAAGCAGTTTTTCGAATAAAAGCAGTGGAGCAAGGAGAGAGAAGGGGACAACAAAATCAACACAGAAACACATCTGATAAAACTTTACCTTTTTTCTCTGTAACTCCTTCGCGGAGCTCTCCTTCCAGGATGGATCTCCATAGTTGTAGTCTTAGTCGTAGTCGCAGAGCTCTCCACAGGAATCTCCATAGGAGTAGCGGTAGCGTAGATTCCTCAAAACTCAAACACCCTCGTTCGAACGTAGTTTGGAGAGGTGCGAACCGTAGTAACGGTCGCGTTGGTTAGAAGTCAGAGGTGCATCGATCAGATCAACATCGCTCGGCGGTGGATATTTGACGGTCACGTCGATTTCACCATTCAGAGGTGCATCGATCAAATCAACATCGCACGGCGGTGGATATTTGACGATCGTCATCGTTTTCAGAAGTCAGTTGCACCGATCAAATCAACACTGCCCGATGGATATTTGACGGTCGTCTCGATTTCAGCAATCAGCGGTGCTTCCGATCAAACGACACCGCAAGAGTTTCCACCGCGAAACATCGAATCAACATCACCGGAAACGAATTCGGCACCGGCGGTGGTATTTGGTTTTTCCGGGGAAACATTTTGGCACACCTGGTGGGACACGTGTGTTTGACATGGCTCTGCGACGAGGAAAAGAAGATTTTGGTCTTCGACAAGGATCCATGGCGGAGGCTCAAATGATCAACATCGAGATTGACGATGTTGTTGGCGGCTCAAGCAACAACGCTGGAGCGGAGGTGCAATCAGTGGCACGAGTCTCCGATCATGGTGAGATGTTGCGCATACTCCCCCAAGTAGTGGCTGAACTCAGCAGAGATAGACAACAGGTAAATCTAATTTTAACTTCTCTTAATAAAAAAATGGATAATCTTGAAAAAAACATAGATCAATGGTTTGATAAGTTGGACGACTCTGTTTCTGATTTTAATATATCAATACGTGGAGCCACGTATGATTTTGATGTGTTTAAATCTCGAACCATGTCTGTTGTGTGTGAGGATGCGAGAGTTGGTCGAATAGCTAATGTCAACCAAACTCCATCATCGATGGCTACAACATTGTTGCCAGAAGTGAGTGAATCCAATGTGTTCTTTCCTGTGAACAACGTTGTTTTAAAGGACACACCAATTGGAAGTGGCTTGCAAAAGCCACTACAAAGAAGTCAGTATCGACTTACTTCTATTAAGATTGAAAACAAGAACCAGGGTCGAGAACCTGGTTACAATCGCGTCGAGCATAGCAAGCTCACGTATGATGGGTTGTCTAAGCAACATCGCAATGGTGTTCAATCTAAGCCGCTAGGGGGGCATGAGATCCCACCGCATGGTCGGTTGATGGAAAAACAACATCGCAAGTGGCAAATAAGTTTGCCAAATCTGTCCTATTCTAGGAAAATTCAAACAAGGATAACAGCAAAAACTTTGCAGTGTGGGGGTGGTAGCCACGTGAAAAAATCCAATGCCACCAAAGTTGGCATGAATCAACAGAATCCTCTATGTAAATTGTCCCCGAAACCTCCACTGAGTAGAGAGGGGGGCAAGTTCGATCAAACCCGACATGGGGTTGCCACACCAGTGCTGGCTGGGAACAAATCCATGAGTGGTGGTCTGGGGGGCAAGGCCAATGCCAAACAAACTCCAAACTCACGTGGAATTTTAAAAGGGGCAACGTTGTTGTGTGATAGGTGCGAAAGTCATGTTCGTGATAAGCAAAATACCAACGTACCTGTTGATGAAAAGTCTCGGCACTCATACTACCAACAACATGGTGAGAGTGCGAAGCTGACAAAACTAGACCAGTCTAGGCAAGCGATGTCGCATGGTCGAATTGGCAAGACAAAGGTGCAAAAAAACGAGAATGTCCTGTCTAGAGCCAAGAATGCTTATGGTTTTCCATTCCGCAAAGCTAAGATTAGGCCAAATCAGGATCATGGAGTTTCGAACAAAGATGTTCGAGCTAGACGAACTGGGGATTTGCAAGCCAACATTGATTCCAAAACATCAAAACCAACTCGTGTGAAGCCAGCTGTATTGAATCATGGACTTTATGGATGGCTTGTTTGGTTTGATCGATGGAGTTGGCAGTGGGTGTGGACTTTTGGCATGATGGTTTATGCCAAAGTCTAGTTTGTTTCTTATTTAACTGTTAATAAATAACGTGGCTAAATTAGGCCACCTAATATGTTATAGAGAAAATATTATATAATATGATCAAGCGACATTGCTAAGAAGAAGCAACAATATCGTTGGCAATAGTTCAAAATAACAAGTGGTGTTGTTCTCTTTTCTCAACATCGTTGGAAGATAGAGAAAGATACGCAATGCTGTAAAAAAAAAGCTCTGCCGCTGAAACAGCCCTGGCGAAATTTTTTTTTCTTCAGCTCTGCCGCTGTTGCAAACAACCCTGGCGAAAAAGAAAAAAAAAATAGCTCTGCCGCTGTTTCCAAACAGCTTTGGCGGAAAAGAGGGGAAAAAAAAATTTGCAACACTGCCGCAGTTTCCTAACAGCACTGGCGGAATATTAAAAAAAAAAAAGGAAAAAAGCTCTCAGCGCTGCCGCTATGCTAACAGCCCTGATTAAAAAAATAAAAGAGACTCCCAACCCTGCGGCTGTTCCCAACAGCCTAGAAGGAAAAAAAAAATTAATGCTTGCAGAGCAGCGCTGGCGGGGGAGAGCAACAGCTCGAAAAAAAAAACAAAAAAGAGAAAAAAGGGTGGCTCATGGGAACTGCTAAAGAGTTAAGGCAAAAGATTTCCACAAATTTTGGTGGATTGGTAGTATAATTTAAAATCATATTAGGTGTTGTGGATTATGTCAACAATTTGGTTCATAATTCTTATAAACCAAATTGTGGGGGCATTTGTTGACACCTAAAATTAATTTGGTCGGGATTAAATGCCGCATTAATTAGTCTCGGCATTTAAGTCGATGCCGCGGGTAAAAAACGGTGTCGTTGGAGTTGAGCGGTGTCGCGGAGAGTTAGAACGGTACTGCAAGGAAGCTCAGCGGTACCGCAACACCGGAAACGACACCGCTGGCCGAAAATAAAAAAAAAGGACGCGCGTTTAGTGAAGGTTGAAGGAGGAGTTTTGATTATTTAATTATTATTTTTTAGTCCTTGTGAGAAGCGGCACCGCGGAGAGTTAAAACGGTACCGCAAGGAATCTCAGCGGTACCGCGGTACTGGGAACAATACCGAAAATAAAAAAGGGGCGCGCGGTTAGTTGGGTATTGGAAAAGGAGTTT